TATTAGTCTTGTTCCTGTTTTAATACCACGTGGTTAACATTAGAGCAGGCCAATATCTAACATTCAAATGAACATAAAAGTAACAAGAGTGAATTTTTTTATTGAAGATTGAAATCAATAGAACTCTATTCAAAATGATAGTAATATTGTATATTTTAATTATGTATTTAAATCTTGCATTTTATCTTAATTATTCTTGCTTTTATATGTTAGATTAGATACAGTACGTTTAACACTCAAATTTCAATATTTTTGACTAAATAAATCATTGTTAAGCCTTGTAACTTATAGCTTACATTAGCATTTTTTATATTTATCCATATTATTTAGGACTCTATAGTATCAAGATTTTATTCAAAACTTTTATTTTTTAAATTAATGTTTTAAACAAAATCAAGTTGGGTTTGCATCGCTAAAATAATATTATTGCTATAACTAAACAATTGAAATAGTCTATTTCGACCAGATGTTGGCAAGCAGATTTTAGGTTGAATTTTGATCGATTATAATAGTCCAATATATAGTTAAGAAATCAGACAAAAAACTATATATTTTGACACGGAAAACGTGTTCTATCTGGGCTGAGCTCCATTTTTGTGCGTATTGGTTCTTGACTTTTACTGTATAGGGATCCTAGGGATTATGCTTTTTTTTAAAAAGAATTTTATAAGAGATTATATTTAATGATTAAAGGGAATTATAAGATTATAATTTTAAAATAGGAAAATGATTTGATAATTTTAGTGCGTAAAAAAATCAAATTTTTTTATAAATATAAGAGCATTTTTTCGTCCCTTTTAAGAAACATTATTCAATCGATAAAATAAGTGTTTCCTTAACTTATTTTTTTTATCCTTCTGAATAAATCTGCTAATTCTCTAAACCAACTTATACTTTGTATAATGTTATGATATGCAATAACTACATCGAAGTAAATTCTTAATATCCTTTGTACAGTCATACCTGATTTATATTTTCCAGAGCATTTTTGGTGATATAACTAAGGTGGGGATATAACTCAATATATAAACTATATATACCGGGTGTCCCAAAAGTCCCTATACATGGTCTCTTTTTTTTTTAAGTGTTGCATGAATAATCATCGTGATCACTATATATAAGGTCACTTTAAAAAAAAGGGACCGTGTATAGGAACTTTTGGGACACCCGGTATAAAAAAAGGAAATTTATTCTGTTATAAAATGGGGATATAACACAGCTTGTGATATAACCCAGTGGGGATATAACTCAGGTATGACTGTAATTCAATTTTTTAAATCTCTCTTATGACCGCATTAAGCTGAGTTTAGCTCTACTTTCACATAATTTATTTTTGTACATTGGCCGATGCTCGGAGTTTCTATTATGTTTATGACGGATAAATATTGTGAAGCTGAGAATTTAATAAAATTTTAGACTCATTTATTTAGTTTTCGGGGTTATATTAGAATTTCGGAATAGGTAAATTTTATGGAACTTATTTTTTCAAAAGAGGCCTCAAAGTCTCAGATTCAATTGAAAAATGTCTAAGAACTTGGCATTTTTTATTTCTGAGGCCCATCTTTGTTCCACAGCATCACCTAGACACATTCACAAGATTTGTGTTTCATATGCATGCACTGGACATTATAATTACACAGATCACTCATAAAATCAAAACCGGGCAATAAGTGATACATACGTACGTTTATACAAGTATGAACCAAGAAGATTTAATTCAAAAATGTCTTAATGAAGAACATGTTAAATTTTACGAATATTACCGCTTCGGGGATTTTAAGTTGATCGGAGAAGGAGGATTTGGAAAAGTACACCGTGCCACTTTTAAGAGCAATGAAATTTCTGTTGCAATAAAGTCATTTAAAAGTAATGCATCTATTAAAGAGATTGTTAAAGAGGTAACTGAATTAGTTATTAATTTATAACTATACTATACGATAATATCATAATATTAATTGTAAAATATATAGCTTAAATTATATTGTAAAGTGGATATACATTCTAATATTATACGTCTGCTCGGTGTTACTAAATATGAAGGTATGCGTGGTTTTCTTTATGAAAAAGATAAAGTAAATTTGGTAATTTGAAATTATGATTTAAAACATATTATGAGAGCCACAGAGAAAACTTGGAAGGGAAAATTTAAATTTTCACTGTAGCGAATTTAATACCAAAAAAGTTATAATTTATCGTGCGTAAAAACGGTGCTCTGATCATTTCAATAGCATGTCATTTTATTATTTTACCTAGCTTTTCTATAATTATAACTATGCTATCGAAATGACCAAAATACTGATCGTACACATAATAAATTAAATTCTTTCGGGATTATACACTAAAAGCTTAAGCTTTCGCTTCCAGGTTTTGCCTACACTTCAAATAACTTACAACATATGATAATACATATGCAATAGATAATACCGATTCGATCTCTACGCATTACATGCTTGTTCTTGAATATGCAGACAGTGGAACTTTAAGGTTGTATCTGCAGAATAATTTTAAAGAACTTTCTTGGAATGATAAGATTAATTTTGCATTGCAGATTGCTAGTGCAATTAAATACTTGCATGCTGAAGACATAATTCATCGCGATCTGGTATTTTTTTTTTTTTTTAAGTAAACACCGATTGTTTCATTATTTTTATTAATTTTAACTATTTATGATTTTAATAGCATTCAAATAATA